CAGGAGTTTCTTATACCAATGAAATCAAGTCCATTCCAAAGAAAAGAACACATTAGTTTTTTCTCATCATTTCATCACATTTCTGGCTCATATTCCACCTGCTACCCACTAACTCTCACTGACAGATCTTTTTCATTTGAACTAATGGCAAGTTACATCTCCCCTATCCTGTATTTATTTTATTAATAAAGCAATAAATGCACACACATATACACACACGTGTGTGTATGTTGTTGTTTAGTTTTTCAATTGTATCTGACTCTTCATGACCTTATTTGGGGCTTTCTTGGCAAAAATACTAGTGTGGTTTGCCATTTCCTTCTCCAGTTCATTTGACAGATGAGGAAACTGAGGCAAACAGGATTAAGTGACTTTCCCAGGGTTACGCAGCATAGTAAGTGTCTAAGGCCACATTTGAACTCAGGTCTTCCTGACTCCAGAAACTATAGGTAGATAGACAGACAAATAAGTATATACATACATGCATACATATTTGGATATATATAGTGTGTATGTATAACCCCAAAGTGTAGGTCTTATTTAGCTTAATGTCAATTTTGCCCTTTGCTTCCCACTCTCCCTATTTATAACTTTTTTGGCAATGGAAGGTCAGTTGGAGGAGATTCTGTCTAATAATATTATGACCACAATTGTATTAAAAATGTGTCATTATTAACATTTTTGTATTACAATAATACAAGTCAGTCAGAGCAGCAAGTTGTCTCAAGAGAGAGACAGAAGGCAGCATAAACAAGTGGATGAAATGACAACCACCATCTCCCCCACAGAATAGCACAGGTAGAGAAGGAAAAGAAAAACACAGAATAGATCTACACATATTAAGAATCCTATGCCCCAGAGCACTATGAGTAGCAGTGACCCCAGGGCAGTCAGCCATTCCTCCAGCCAGGACCAACACCATTGCCCCAGTGAGGAACTTCTGTGGAGATACAACCTAGTAACTGTTGCTACAAGAGGTGCAACCATAGCTACCCAAGAAATGGAAAATAACCTTCTCACCACCAATTCCTTTGCACTGTCAAAGAGTTCAATATCAGAAATGGATATGATTTAAGATATAGAAATCATAGTAAAGGAGACATATTTGTACATTAGTCTTATGTGTTATCAGTCTTGAAAGTCAGATAGGGCAGTGTACTTAAAAACAGTAGGACCTAGATTCAAATCCTGCCTTAAATACTTACAAGTTGTATAATGCTGGGTAAGCTATTTATACCTTAGTTCCCTCACCTATAAAATTAGGAGGGTTAAATCTGATGGGCCTTAAGTTCCCTCATAACTTTAAAGTGAAGGAAACAAGCTATTATCCTATGATTTTCCTTCATAATAGAGTCCAAGTGCATCACTTGCTGACTGGGTCATCACCTTTCCATGTATCCTGAAACTGAACCATCCTATTTACTTGATGATAGCAGGTATTATCTTATTTTTTCTATGTATATCCCCAGCAGTTAGTACTACTTGTTATGTCGTAAGGGATTAATATTTTTTTCATTCATTTATTCATTGAATCAAGAGAAAAAAAAACAACCATAAACATTGAAAACCAGAAAAAAGCACTCCACAATAGCCATGGCAAATAAGCACAGAATAATCTGCTCCCATTTTTTCCTTGCTCTTATAGACTTAAGTCTTTCCTGAATTCAGAATTTATGGAGCCAGATTTTCTTGCCTTACTTGGAAATACTATTCCTAATTCAAAATTAAGCACCTATAAAATCTGTCAACACTTTCAAGGCTTCATCCTTTATCACTAGTGGGGTGATTTAGAAGCCATTCATAAGAAGAAAAATGATTTGGCTATAGTTAGGATAATAGAGCCAAAGTATTAAAAAGATGAAGTGAGGAGACCTCTGTATGTTTGAATGCAGTTTGTCAAGATACTGAAAGAAAAGACACATTAATGATGAGATACAAGGCAGGGGTGAATATGAGGGTCAAGGGTTATCATTCTGATGAAGGGGATATGGTCAAGAAGGATGGTGTGGGAGTTCATCTTCCAAAGGAGGAGGGAAAGCTCTTAATCAGATAAAGGTGAAAGGAAGAAAGGATTGATAAATGGTTAAAAGGCAGGAGACCAGAGGTTGATGACTAAGTAAAGAACTCAAAACTTGTCCCCAAAATTTTATGGGAAAAAGTTGGTGAAATCATTTTCTCCTTTGGTGAAATGGAGGAAAGATTGTGGAGCTTTTCAGAAGTTAAAAGTAGGAGTAGTAAGCTAGTATAAGAGTATTGTAAAGGTACATGCAGTCAGTAGAATAACTGAGGCACAATCCAATATCCTATGCTAAATTATCCCTGGGCACAGTGTGTTTGACAGTGAGCTGTCTCAGGAGCTGAGGCATGTTTAGCTAAACTGGAGTTGTCGTAAGCAGAGTGAGCAAAAGAAAAGCTATAAAGGTCCAAATAAGCAGAGCTTCCAACATAGAATGACTACAGAAAATTGAAAGGCAACTAATATCAGAGAAACTCAGAAATAGGAGTTTGGTACCCAAAATTAAAAACCCTGGAGCTGTGAAAATAACAAAAGCCTATCTTCAAGCAGGCAGGATGCTGAAAGGATTTCTGGCCTCACAGTGTAGACTCTTTTAGCTGAATTCTTCTGCATAGCAACACCATCAACAGAACCACATTTGAGAGTAAAGAACAGTGATATTTTATAAGTGCATAGGAAAAAATTTCTGGTACATGTGTATAAATGTAGGTATAATGAAGGAAGAGTCACTAGAGATTTGTTTCAGGACACCAATCTGGGGAGCATTCTCCCTTCACACAGCAGTCTTCTATGATGTCACTGAAGCACTTTAAGGCTCTCAATCATGCCTCTCCCCATCCAAAGCTCGACTGCTGCCACTGCCTCAGCCCCAGGGTGCTACTATGAAGTACTTTGTCACCATTCTAGCCCTTTCCACAAATCAACCTTCTCTCACATCCCTGCTCCTTTTCTTCCAGGAACCAGTAGGTTGAGGGTAGGCAGACCTAAAAGAACATGGCTTGACTCTGCAGAACAGGCCATTCCTACTTGAGTAAAGGTAGACTTAACTGGGATATTCTGTCACATCCACTGGGCACATGCATACACACATATACATAAATATGCATTACTCTCCATCAAATTTGCTTCATGCATAAGAATTTTGTGTTCAACTTTAAGTATCAAGTAATTCAATGCTATCAAACTTTATATAGAAATCCCTCTCTCCTTTACAAAAAAGAGGCAACAATCTATATAGATAATTGTTTTAATTCATATTTTATTCAAATAGAAACATCCTTATTATAATTTTTACAACAAACACATCTTAAATAATGGAAATAATGTAACAAACATAGAAATAATTAATCAAATTCTTTGCAAATTTTATTTCTATCAAAATAAGATTATTAGTAATGTGATAGGTAGGATAACTTTTCAGCACAAATTTCACATTTAACAATGACATAAAAGTATCCTATCTCCTGCCCTTGTAGCACATAAATTTTCAGATCTTTCCTTTTAAATGATGGTGGCACAATATATAGAGTATAGGACTTAGAATCAGGAAGATCTTAGTTAAAATCTTCCCCGAGATACTTAATACCTATGTGACTTTGAGAAAGTTACTTAACTTCTCTCAGCCTCTATTTTCTCATCTATAAAATTACTAAAATGTCTCCAAGGTCTCTTCAAGCTTTAACTCTATGATCCTATGATGACTCTTACAAGAACTTACAAAATTCAATCTAGCTTTTCAGTCAGGTAAAAATGCCTTTTAGAGATGCACACAATATGTCCAAATTTCAAAAGAGGCCATACTTTTAAATTAATGCTGTAGATCAGCATTTCTTCCTGAGATCAACTGAGTTGTCAGTGCAGAATACCATGCATTTTTCCCACATTATATCATTTTCTTTTGAAAAATAATTTGACAATTGAAAATTTCTCATGATGTATCACTGATGCCAAGTTTGTGAAGTAACAAATCTTCCCTGACATCACTTTCAAGAACATGCCATAAATCTATAACCAAATGAAAATCTGTTGCTTCATCAATTTGCGATGCAAAATTGGAAGATTTTAGTTTCTTGGTTAATTGATCACAAAGGTTTTCAGGCAATGAGCAATACTTGTTCCTGACATATTATCTGCAACTAACTGCTTTGCATATATGACTTCCCCATCATTTTTTCAATGATATCTGTAGTTAAAGGTAGCACCAACTTTTCTCTTATATTATCACTTAATACTTTGCAATTATGTAAGCAATTTACATGTTGCTATCCTTTCAGTGTCACAGCCATGGTTTATTGTAAAAGTTTCTTTTTGCTTATTAAAAGTATAAAATTTTCTCTGGTAAAAAGCCTTATATTTCAGAATGTACACTTTCAAGATATTGTTTCAAAGTTTTGTTTCATGCTTTCTGTAGCAGAAGTATTTCAAGAAAGCAAATTCATCTGTCTTTCATCACCATCAATAACAGTATTTGTGAATCCCTATGACAGAGTCAATTATTTTCCATACTAGGCTTTTTACTTTTTTTTGCTGTATTTCTATATTTCTGCTACTTAACAGATCTTTATTGCCTTTATTTGCATCCATTTCATTAATTCTAATTGTTTCTCTTTTCAATACAGTTATGTACTTACCCATCATTAAATATTTTTCCTTTTCAAAATTAAAGACAATAAAAATTGAAGGTAATGAAATAAAATTGAGCAAAAGTTTATTATTCTCTAAGACTATTTTTGAATTATTTGAAAATTTGCTTTTTTTGGAAAAGAGTTTATTAGATTGTTATTCTTGTTCATTTGTTTTTCAGTCACGTTTGACTCTTGTGACCCATTTGGGGTTTTCTTGGTAAAGACACTGGAGTTGTTTGCCATTTCCTTCTCCAGCTCATTTGACAGATGAGGAAACTGAGGCAAACAAGGTTAAGTGACTTTCCTAGGGCCACACAGGTACTAAGTGTCAGGATGGATTTGAACTCACAAAGATGAGGCTTTCTGACTCTAACTCCAGTAGTTTATCCACTGTACCACCTAGTTGCCCTATTATATTATACTCAGCAAAATGAGTTAAGGAGTATAATAAGACATTATTGTACTTTTAACTTCCACACCAATATTGTTTAACTTCAAGTTTATATATTTCATGTTCAAGTCTAGCAAGAAGTGTAGTGACATAACTCATATGTGCCACCAGCCTATACTGACTTTCAGGAGTATGGCAGATCACACTGCTTTGAGATTTGTGCCAACAAAAATTTAGCCTCATTTGTACATACTATATTAAATAATCATTGCCCTGCATTCACTGTCAGAGTGAATTTAAAATGTTAGTTTTGCTTTTGTTGACTTCAATGTAAATTTAGTTTTCATTGCAAAAGTGGATATATCTATGCTTGAGTTGTGCTAAAAATATAAAATAATTTTTGCCATTGTTACATGTGCATTTTGAAAGGGTCTTTTACTTTCTCAGTGGGGTACTTCCCAACTTGGAAAACTTAAGGAATTTAATTACACAAACATTTGTTAAGCACTTATTACGTACAAACTTCTGTGTTAAGTGTTGGTGATCAGCCAATCAGCAAGCATTAATTAATTCCCTACTGCATACTAGAAAATATGCTTGTTGAGGAGTCAAAGATAAAAATGAAAACTGTCCTTAAGTTTACATTTTCCTTAATGGAGTGAGACTCCTTCCTCAAGTCATACTAGAAATAGTTTAAGTACTTTATAATCACATATGTTCATATGCTAATTGTCAAGCATACTAAACCAGTGATTTTTAATTACCCGGAAGAGATCCCACAAAGCACTGAACTTTGAATTTGCAATAGGTTATAGTTTAAGCCCTAAAAGAATACAACTGAGGATGTTTATACAGAGTTACAGCAAGAAGGAGCCATGGCACAGCTTTCTGGGTCGAACATTCTTCATGTTGTAGAAGAGATGATTCAGTACATACCCCTATCTCAGCTTCTTCACTTTCATTTAAGCACTTCCTAAGTGCCAAGCTCTGAGGAAATTTTAAAAAAGCAAACAACAATAATAAAACAAACTCTGTCCTTAATGAGTTTACATTCTACTAGGAGAGAGAGCATTTGCATGAATAAATATACACAAAGTGAATATAACATAAATGGGGGGGCATTGGTAGCTAGCTGGGGAAATCAAGGAAGACTTCATGATGAAGATGTTACTTTTGAGCAGAGTTTTAAAAGAAATAAGGGACTCTAAGAGGATAAGATAACACAGGAGTTTATTCCAACAATGTGGGACAACCAATACAAAGGGCAAAAGTATGACTACGGGATATGGAGTATCACAAACACTCTCTGCTATAAATTTCCCAGTTCATCAGCTCCTTTGTCAAAAGAGGAGATGGTTATGTGAAAATAGCTCTTTGGACAGAAATAACATTCCCTTCACAATAAATATTCACTCTCTTCCTCTTCTCATTTCCACAGAGTTTTTGTTTGTTTAGTCACACCAGCAAATCTATTCCAACCACTAGCCAATGAAGCAGCAAACATAATTGGAAGGGATGATCACAGGAGATCTATTTGGTTTTATATTACATTATTACATTATATTATATATTACATTACATTAATAATACACATTAATATTACAGTTTCCACCACCACCCCTATCACCACCCTTGGGTGGGTTGAGTAGAGAATAATAGTTGAATCAACCCATACTGTTGTGACAGAGGTGATCGGGGAACTCTCTCTATTTGTTCCTCATAGGAAGCATGCTTTGGAGTAAGCCTGTGTTTTTGGCCCTTCTGGTGGGCCACATGTGCTCTGGTTCCTTGCCTAAAGACACAAAATTGCCAACCAATGAATGGCTTCTGGTCACATATCTTTTAATAAGGGACCAGAACACAAATGTCCTACCAGAAGGAGCCAGAGTCAAGGCCCACCCTTAAGCACACTTCTTGGCAGGTGCCTGGGTCTTGGAGATAAGGAGAGTTTACACTTATAAAGTGTTTTTTTTTTTTACTTTTTCAAAACATTTTTACATTAATTATTTCACGTTACCTTTAAAACAACCTACGTAGTAGAAAAAAGCAGATATAATCCTCAAATTATACATGGAAAAACTCAGACACAAAAGGCCTCAGTTTGTTATAATGTCAAGAGATCTGAAATTCAAAGCAGAAGACCTCTGGTGGTCTTGAATCCATCCATCCTGACTACAACATTTACTAGCTATGGGGACATGAAAAAGTCACAGTCCTCATGGGGCTTCCAATTGCTCATCTACAAAACTGCAATAATAATATTTGTACTGATGACCTCACAAGGCTGTTTGTTGGAAAAGCATTTTGTAACCCTTAAAGCAAGTTAATTCATCCTCATATAACAAATGCAATTTGTAAATGGGTCCATGCTCAGAGACTTTCCAGCTATGTGGGCATTTCCCAGAGTTTGTGTTTTGCTGACATAGCCTTCAAGGACTCAGGGTCACTTTCATGTTAGAATGAGATACTAGATCAATCCTCCAATGGAGGAATTTGATAGAAAGAGAAAGAAGACTAGGGGGATAAGGGGAAGGAGAAGGAGATGGGAGAAGAAGGAAGAGGAGAAGGAGAAGACAGATTAAGTGATTTATCTAATGTCAAATCAGCGAATGAAAAAGTGAACATGACTTTTTCTTATTTTTTCCTCTAAAGTAAGCTATGACTAACAATAGTTTTATTGAGTACAGCTTTGGTTCTTTTTCCCAAACAGAGCTTATACATTTCTGTCTTTCACAGGACTAGACATTATTTAAGGTGTATACTGACCATGTAAGATGTATATGTCCATATGGGATGTCTAAAAGTACAGATAGTTGGTATGAGGTGAGGCATTGATAGTCATCTCTGGAATCTTGCTTAATCCTCTCCAAGAAAAACTCTGACTCTTGCCTTATGGGAGTAAGAGAAGTTACATAAGGCTGTCCTCTCTGGATTAAAAATATATTTATCTGTCTTTCTAAATATTACTAGTCTCAGATCATGAAGAAAAAACTGCTTTTCTGGCCACTTTTTCTGAAGGGAGTAGGGTTTCTCAAACTTATATCCACTGTCATGGCCCTTTCCCACTAAAACACTGGCTACACAAAAGATGATATATCACAAATATACAATAGCTAATAAACCCATTTATCTAAGCAAATAGTAAAGAAAAACTAGACAAATTATACAGATCAGCATATACTAGAAGATACAGAGTGAGTTTTTTAGATGAAGTAAGATGATTTCTCACTCAACTACAAGAGAAGACCTAATCTCACCTGAGGAGAAATTCCCTGAAAGTTCTAGATAAGTAAGGTGGAAATCAAGGATGTGGTAAGGGTCCATCTTCCTCTACATACCTGTAAGAGAGTCTTTCTTCTCCCAAGAGACAGTCCCAAACAGGCTGGAATCACATGTGTCTCTCTTGAATTAGGAATGAAGAATATCTCTCCTTTTCAAAGCTCTTGGCATATAGCATCATGTCAACATCCTCTCTACCAATTCAGACAGTAGCTTGCAAAATGTTCCAGGCTTGCCTGGAAGCCAAGATGACATAAACATAAGAATGTCTTCAGATATCTCTCAAATCAGACTATTTCCTCTCCCAACTCCTTGTTCTTTTCTGTCTCTTACTAAGAATCTCTATAGAACTAGTCATGCTCAGTAAATGAGAATTTCAGATAAGACTGCACTTTACCGCCTCACTCTGGGTTGGCTTTGTTCTATCTGGTACTGGAATGATCTCATTTTAGCTCTGGAAGGGACTTCCGAGCCCATCAAGCCAAACTCCATCTTACAGATTCAGTGGCTGAGGTTAACAGAAATGAAGTGACTTACTCACAATTTCACAGCTACTAAGTGGCAGAGCCAGGAGTCAAACCTATACCTTTTGATGACTAACTTCTGAAGTTTTTCCATTCTGTTACGGTGCCTCACCTAGAAAAGTTCTAAACAATCAATTAGTTAGATGACTACTTTTCCTCTGAAAATACTTTCAGCTTAGTGAAGCACATCAGTGCCCATGACAAGATTAATCACATCCTAAAACACAAAGGCATGTGGTGCAGTGGCAAAAGCACTGGATTGGAGACCTCTGCTTAAATACCACCTTTGCCACTTACTACAGGCAGCTAGATGGTACTGTGTATACTGTGCTGAGCCTGGAGTCAGGAAGACTTATCTTCCTGAGTTCAAACCTGGCCTCAGGCACTTACTAGCTGTGTGACCCTGGATAAGTCATTTAACTCTGTTTGCCTCAGTCTCCTCCTCTGTAAAATGAGCTTCAGAAGGAAATGGCAAACTACTCCAGTATCTTTTCCAAGAAAACCCCAAATGGGGTCATGAAGAGTCAGATATGACTGAAATGACTGAACAACAGCAATTGCCACTTATTACCTGTGTTGTCTTGTACAAGCTATGGCACCACCATGGACATCAATTTCCTTTTCTATAAAAAAGAAAAGGGTTGGATTAGATGACCAACAAAGTCTCTTCCAGCTCTGAATCCAGAATACTTTCATCTTATCAATATGGCATAAGCATGTAATTCTATACTTCCTTGATCAACACACTGAATTGATAATTTATATATTATCTCTCTTATAGGGACTAGACATTTTCAGGCCTTTACAAGGCCAGTTGCTGCAAATAAGTATAAGCATTATTGATCCTATCAAGATGCATTTATGTGAAGATAATTCTTGGTTGGATAAAAATAATCTTGAAACCTGAATGTTATAGAATCATTGGGTAGCCTATTGGTTGTCCATTGCTTTGAGGTATTTGAATTGTCAATTGAGGGCAGTCACTTTCCACAATTACATAAAATAACTAAATGTATGTAAAATAACATAATTTAATGCCTTAGGAGTACACCTCTTGAAAACTTGCAGAGTTATCCAATAGCCTATTGACCAATGCAGAATAGACCATATTTTGCATCCTGGGCTATAAATTTAGCTCCTACCTCTTGGAGGAGGTGACAGAGCCCAGAGAGCTTGAAAGGGGAAAAGATGATGGCCTAATGGATTTCTTAGTCATGGAAAAAATGATATTTCTTTAATTCACTATTATTTGCCAGTAAATACTATAATTGAGAAGAAACTTCCCTTAAAAGTGCTAAATCAATTAATTGCCCTCACACACTTACTTTAAGATTCTGCACTCCAGAAACAACTTCCAGATGTTGCCTTCATTAACTTGACTTCTGGTCATTGAGTTCATGTTAATGCTCTATCTTTCCAGGGATGGAAATAGAGGATTGCAGAGACAGCAAGCAAATTCCATTGTAGGGATTCTTTAGTCTTCAGTGGAGAATCTCACTGCTTTTTTATCTTGAGCTACTAATTTCCTCCTTCTCTGTATGCCTTGGTTTCCTTATTTGGAGAGAGAGAGAGAGAGAAAGAGAGAGAGAGAGAGAGAGAGAGAGAGAGAGAGAGAGAGAGAGAGACTAATTGGTAACAGTAAAGAAAAGCTAATAAAATTGAACTTAAGGCATTTTATATTTTGTTAAGTAGTATACTTATACTTAATAGTAATTGTGCTTTGATGTCTGCCACATTCCTGCATAAGAATGACCTTGTTAACTAATGTTCCCATTGAGAAAGTGCGCCTGGCAACCCTGGGCTCTGTTTGCTATTACCAGGGTTCTTCTCATGTGCAGCCTAATCCTGGGTTTATTTTAGCATGTTAAAAAATATATTATTATGGCATATCCCAAAAAAAGTATATTTCTGAAATCTGTTGTGAAGAGCATGAGCAGCGTCATGTGTGCCCTAATAATAATTTTCATTAATCAAATGGAGACTTACAAGATGTGAAGATACATTTGGAGCACCTTGACCATTTTGGCATTTTCCAGAAACTTTTTTTAATCACACGACTGTTGAAATTATTCTCAAGTTTTGTGCATTTTCCTAACATGAAACCATGAGGGAAATTAGCCTTCAATATTTCTCTGCAGGCTTTGTGCCTTATTAGAAATAACTTGTTTAAAGAAAATCTTTACTTTGGATTGGTGGTGAGAATAAACACATAGTTCTCTGTGACTTTTATTATTTATTATAAAGTCATTTGGCAGGGTGTTATGCAGGCAACCAAACAAAAGAAGAGATTAATCAGAACTACCAATCTTTTTCTGATTTGCAGGGTAACAGAAAACAGCAGCCCAGCCCTGTCTTATTCCCCATTGGTTTATTTCAGTATGTGCCAATGATGGAAAACATGGCCTGCCTGTAAAGCAACAATGGGGGCTGGTTTCCATTGACTTAATCAGTCAAATGTAAAAATACAAAGGAACAATATAAAATAAACCCTCTTCTGTATGGTTTCATAGGCCAGAAGCAGGAACATGGTCAAGATAGGTGCTGCTCTTGCAATTTACCATCGCTGTTTCAGACTTTTCACCTTTGAAAGTTCCCATTTTAAGTTCAGAAATTAAAATGTGAGGTTAATATACAACAGTGGCTTGCTTCAAAAGTCACAGAAGGGAGCAGGGGAAAGGATGTTGGTCTGGCAGGAAAATGGCCTGAAAGTTTAGCCCTGCATTCAGTTACAGCATGAGTTCACAGTCAGTTCAGAGATCAGAGATCTAGAAGTGGAAGAGACCTCAGAGGGCGTCCTGTCCAACCTACTCATTTTACAGGTGAGGAAATTTAGGACTAGGGAAGTCAAGTGATTTACCCAAGGTCACACAGTTAGCCTGATAAGGGGATTTGAATCCAGATCCTGTGACTTCAGAGTCAAAGCTCTTTCCCCAGTACCATATTTATTGCCTTGCTTTGCCTCTCATGGCATCATAGATTTAAGGCTGAATGGGACCTTAAAGGTCACATAGTTCAACCTCTCATTTTACAGATGAGGAAATTGATACTCTAGAGAGGTTGTAACCTACTTAATGTCACACAGGTGGTAAGGAGCCCAGCCAGGATTTGGAACCAAGACCTCCAACTTCAAATCCAGAATGAGCTCTTTTTTTTTTCACTGAAGTTCTCATTGAGAAAAGTATCTTCACATTGAGGCAGCACTGCTATCTTCCTCAGACACTTTCTATACCTTGGTTTTCTCTTCTTTAAAATAAAGATCATGGGATCATAGATTTAGAGCTGGAATCGACTTTAGGGGCCATCTAGCCCAACTTCTTTATTTTGGGCAAAATGAGCTAAGTTACTTGACCATCATCATACAGCTAGCATCAGAGATGAAATTTGAACCTAGGTCTTCCTGACTCTAAATCCAGCACCCCATCTTCTACTCCATCTTGCCTCTATTTTCAATTTATCTGACAAAAATTTTGAGAGGCTAAATGACATCCCAGCTAATGTAGCTTCAGTAACTGGAGGCAAGGTAATTTTTTTGGGGGGGTTGTTTTTTTTTGGCATAGTTTAGAGCAGGGATGGGAAACCTGTGGCCTTGAGGTCACACCTCTACATCCTCAAGTGCAGCCCTTTGACTGAATCCAAACTTCACAGAACAAATCAACCTCTCTCTCTCTTCCTCTCTCTCTCTCTGTATCTCTCTCTCTCTCTCTCTCTCTCTCTCTCTCTCTCTCTCTCTCTC